TTGTTTGCAATGTGGATTGTGTTGTTGTGGTAGCTAGTTGATACTCCGTAGTAGATGAAATTGGACGGTATATATACTGCAATTTGGAAGCACTCTGATTATGCATAACAAATTGCCCAAAGGATAATACGGAGTAAGATGCATTGCTTTGAATTATGATGACATGAAATCTGAAAAGACAACACCTTACGATACTTGTATTAGACATACGTGTAATACAGAGTATTACACGTATTTGCTTGTTGTTGAGATTGCCTGCTGCATCCTCAAATCTGCTTGTTGTTGAGATTGCATTTGTTGCTGCTGAATTTGCAGCAACTTCTTGAGTGTTTCCTCTATGCCAGAAAATCTTTGTTCTGTTTCTCTCTTAAAACTCTCTTGCACGGGCTGAGATGCTTGTTGTTGATTAAAGTTTCTAGACTGCTGCTGCTGATTTACATACCCGTAATTTCCTTGCTGCTGCTGTCCGTAGGGCTGATTGTAGTAGCCCTGTCGCTGAAAATTCATCGCATCAACTTGCTCTACTCCAGGGGCTGCCGAGTGTGCCATCATAGTGCATTCATGTGGCGAATGGAGTCCCCCACACATAGTACAAGAGGGACTAATAGGAACGGGGGCTACCATATTAACACTGGGCACCGAGAGAGCAAGATTCGTCTTCTTCTGATTATCCTCCAAACTTGTAGCAAGTTTCTGAATCATGCTAGTCAAAGCATCTACCCTCGCAGAAAGGGCAGAATTATCACTGATCTCATACAACTCCGGGGTCTTCTGGTGAGGTGTGTCCCGAGAGCTGTACCATGAAGCATTATTAGAAACAATCTTCTCCACTAATTCTTCCGCCACCTCAGATGGTAATTGAGGAAAAGCTCCTCCACCCGAAGCATCAAGCATCATCTTCCCTTCATCGCAAATTCCGCTATAGAAGCAAGATAGAACCTCACAATCAGTCATCTTGCCTTGAGGACAAGCTCTTCTTAGCACTTTAAATCTCTTCCACGCCTCAGCCAATGTTTCCAACGAACCTTGCTTGAAATCTTGCAGCTGCTTCTTCAGCTTTATGGCCTTTGATGTTGGGAAGTATTCTTTTATGAAGGCCTTGTGCAGCTGATCCCAAGTCTGAATGTGGTGATGTGGATTGCTATCCAACCACCTCTGTGCGTCATCCCTCAATGAGAAAGGGAACAATAGCATCCGTACCTGATCGTCATCTAGCCCAGGGATCTTGAACGTTTGGCACATCCTCAGAAATTTTGTAATGTGTGCCACTGGATCTTCTGTAGGGCTCCCTCCAAACTGATTATTGGACACCATGTTAATCACTGTTGGGTTGATCTCATAGCGGGGTGCAGTAATTCCCTGCACTTGAATGCTGTCATACTCTGTGATGTCCGGAGTAAGGAAATCTACAATGCTTTCTCCTTGATAGAGCGGATTGTCATGAGGGATATAGTTTTGGTATGGAGGAGCTTGATATCTCGGCTGATGAACTGGTTGGGGTCTAATGGGTTGTGGACGGATGACATTTGGCTGCGGTTGGGATTGATGGAATTGTTGATATTGGGGTTGGAAGGGCTGATTTTGTGACTGAGTAAGGGGTGGATTTTGTGTGACTGACGGTTGGTTCTGTCTGGGCAGAAAGACTGGATTGTTTTGCCCTAGACCTTGCATCCCAAAAGTTTGATTTTGAAACGTGGTTTCGGGAGCAATAAAAGTATTTTGAAAGAGCTGATAGAGTGGTGGAAGATTTAGTTGTGGAGTGAACTAATTTTGGGGGAAGAATGGGGTACGGAGATTTTGATACCCCGGATAAGCTCTAGGTGAATTTTCTTGTGAAGACTGGGGAGAGGTATTAACATAAAAATCCAGATTACCAGAAGTGGTTTGGACCTCAGACGTCCCAGCTATTCCAGATGCGGATGGTTGATCCATGGTTGCTTTCTTCTCAAGAAAGACCTTGCGGTTCTGTCCAGCAAACTTCTCAATCTCAGGATTAAGAGGGACAAGTGATTCTCTCTTCTTTGAACGTGTATGCATAAACAGATCTGACCTGCAAGGTTAGCAGACCAAAATCCTACGAAAAACTAAAAACAAGTCGCTAAAATTAATTAACCCTTAAATCCGACACCGTCCCCGGCAACGGCGCCAAAAACTGATGTGAGTTTTCTCGCACTTAAAATAGTTGTAGAAAAGTGGTTGAAAGTACGAGTATCGTCTCCACAGGGACGGACAAAAGGGAGTTAAAGATTAACTAAATTCAGCGATTAAACAGAAATAAATAAATTAAAATGCGATGTGCGAGATTGGTTGGTTGAATTAAAATTAAAACTAATGCTAATGAGCGATAAAAATAAAAGATTGGTTTCTTCTCAATTAACGACGAAGGGAACAGGGATTGATTCCGGGGTAACCAGATTTCTGGCAGATCAGACCTAATTACATGAATTTAATTTAATTGAGCCAAGCTAATCATTACTAAGTTCTTACCGCTCTCGCGGCGTAGAGTACAATAATTTAGGGGACCAGGCTGATCTCTCATGCGACAGGATCCTAAATTATTGCCAAGACGAGCGAGCTTACGGCCCCTTAATCGCTACTAATCTCTTAGCGAACGATTAAGTCTGTGTGAATGTGTCCTAGAACAAATTAGATCTCTCTTAATTCATTCTACATGCAATTGTAATTCTAGCTGCAGTCTAGGTTACAAGAGATATCAATTAAATTATTCAAACACAAATTAAACGACATTCATGCAATTAAACCGACAAGAATCTAGCCATCCATCATGATTAACTCCTTCATCAACCCCAAATCCCTAATTAAACTACTCACAATTCATAATTGAAGAATCAACAGAATTGAGAAGAATAGAATAAATTGTCATTAATTAAAAAGATGAACTTACAAATAATCCCAGGGTCTTGGAAGAAAATAGCGTAAAAACGGTGTTAAATTCGTCCCTAGGCCTCTCCGTAATGTTCGTAACCCCCAAAACGGGGTAATGGAGGCCTTATTTATAGAAAACAATGAATTTGGGTCGAATTAGGACAAATCGCGGCCAGGCACGGTGCCAGGCACGACCGTGCCTGCGACCGTGCCTACGAAAGAATCCCGTAAATTGCGTCCAGGCACGGCGTGCCTAACTGCCAGGCACGACCGTGCCTGGCCTCCAGTAGCCCGGTTCTTCGAAATATGCCAGGCACGGCGTGCCTAGCAGCCAGGCACGATCGTGCCTGGCCTCCAGTAGCTCCCAGGATAATTTACGCTTCAGGCACGGCGTGCCTAACTCCAGGCACGACCGTGCCTGACCCTATTCTTCACTTTTCCTTCATTTTCTTGCTCTGAATGCTCCCGGATGCCTACGAGGTCGATCCAAATGCTCTTTCTTTACCAGAATTTCGTCACGAATCTCCCGGTGGCCTCCAAATCTTCCAAATCTTTCTCGAATGCCTTCAAATCCTTCCCGAATGCCTCTCAAGCGCCGATTGCCGGACTCTAACTTCTTCAAATCAACTCCAAATGCAATGAAACTCGATTCAACGCCTGCTAAACACAACTTGAGCCAAAATTGAGACTTGCAACGCCTTAAAGCCAGGACAATCATCAAAATCCGACCTGAACACGCATCAAATGCGTGTCTAAATACGGACTTATCATGTGTATTATATAGTCTAGTTCCTTTGTAAATGTTTAGAAGTTGTCTGTGTGTTTTATTGTCTATGAATCAAATTAGGAGTGTTCTTTATTGTTTTTTTTGTAAAGTTTTGGTCTATGAAGGTCTGTTTTTGTCTGTCTGCCATAAGTTTATTTATGTTTGTCCAATTGCCAGGGTCCTGAAGCTACACATTCCAAGTCATGACTATTCCCCGCGCATTATTCCGTATGTTCAGCCTTCAGAATTGCAGCAAAGTGGTTACAAAACATATTATCTCCAACACAAAAGGAAAGGTTTCGCGAATTACCATGGGACCATCTAATTGACATCCCAGAAACAGACAACTCTGGCCAAATCTTGCACATGCTGGCCTTACACCTTGTGCAGGAGCAACTGGATAATGAGATGTGGTTTGGCATTGGGGGTAAACTGTATAAGTTCACTTATGCGGATTTTTGCTACATAAGTGGCTTACCAATACATGACGAAGCCGAACTTGTTGAATCAGAAGCGCCCGCGACTGAGGATGAAGATTGTGGAGATGATTCTGGACAAGAATTTGACCAAGAAGATGAACCAGTAGGGGCCATTGGTGAGAAGTATTTAGGTGGCAAAGTTAACATTACCCATGCCAATATGAAGAATATCTTTAAGAAGCAGAAGCCATCCAAACGTGGTGATGATGCTGTGAAGTTGGCCTCGTTATTCTATATTGAGTCTGTATTGCTTGCAAAGGACAACCCTACGAGGATAAATGAATCATCAGTCAGATTGGTCAACGATTTAGAGGCATTCAGGAAGTGTCCGTGGTCACTTCAATCTTACAAGATATTTGTGAAACACATGAAGGACCTGATGCAAGACCAGCCTGATAACTTCAAGGAGCGGAAGAAGAACAATCCTGAGTATAAGAATGCAAAGTTCTCTGTTTACGGGTTTCCACTAGTTTTGCAGGTATATATGACAACTTCCCCATTGTACTTACTGTTTACGTGTGTGTGTGTGTGTGTGTGTGTATAACTGTTAAATTTGAACTATTTGAATTTATAGTTTTTGAATAACTATGGATATTAATTCACTAACAATGTGTTCAATTAACGATGAATAAATGTATTTCGTGTTCATTCTTATTTCTATAGGTGTGGGCTTATGAAGAAATTCCTGAAGTTGGTAACAACTTTGCAAACAAAGTGGCTAATCATGAGGTGCCTTTTCTGATTTGGACTGTTGTACGCAAATTTCATTACTCAAAGCTTAGACGACTGGTCTTTCCAGAGGTATGTGTGTCTCATTCATTATCTTAATTTCAAATAGCCTTTATTTTACTATTTTTTTCCTAGGAGGAGGGGAAGGTTTCTGATTCAGAGGAGGACAAGGTTGATGATTCAGAGGAAGGAGAGGAAGAAGATGAAAGAATCCGGGAAGACGTTCAAAATTTTCAAAAACTAAAAATATTGGAACAGATGCAGCACCTACGGCTATGTGTGGAAAGGGTGGAAAAGAAGATTACTACCGTTGAAGAAAGTATTTCAGAAATTAAGCTACTACTTAAGAAGCCGATTGGCAATCAGAACCCATCTGTTGAGCAAGAGGTGATCTGTAACTTACTTGTTTGTCTCATTTGCGGGCCATTTTCATTAACTAAGGGACTAACACTATCAACCATCTATATTGTAGGTTGATAATAATGATGTGGTAGTTCAGGATGATGCTGCGTTTGAGGTCGAGGCTGAGAATATAGTGCAACATACTGCCAGCGAAGATGCTGGTGGTATACATGATGCTGCCTGTGAGGGTGAGGGAAAGGGTGCCGCTGCAGATGTTCCTATGAAGACCACGAGTGTAAGTGAAGAAACTGCAATTGCAGATGGTGATGGGGTGGCACATAGGCAGATTTCTCCGACAGCAGATGTAACCGCTAATGAAGATTGTGTTGAAGCGGAAGGTGGGGACGTTAGCAACCCCTTAAACAATGAAGGTTGCAAATAGGCATATTTCATCATCTCAACTGTGGTGACTGAGGTATGGTTGTTGATGTATCATTGTTTTTTTTGTGCAAAATGAGAAATGAACTACTTATTTATTTGATAGGTGAATTGGGAAATTGAGCAGAATAAGGAAGACATCAACTTCCCAGATATTATGATGTGTTTAAATGAGGTAAAGATGTGTTTTTGAGTTTGTATTATCCGTGTATTAATCTCAATGTTGGTGTGCATATTAGTGTTCATTCCAATGACATGAGAAATAAATGCATTTGAAGTTATAGTTTGTAAACTAAGATTGTCTGTGATGCATTTTAAGTTATGGTTTGGATATCCCTGTGTAATAAGAGTCTGAGCAGGTGGAGGAGGAGGTGTTAGCTCCGTTAACAACGCCCAGTCCATTTGAAAATTTGGATTGGGATGGAGGCGATGTTGGGAGTGCACCACTTGATGTTGAGGCTTCTGGAGTTGTTAGCACGAAACATCGACGATAACATGTAAGTATATTAGAAACCGTCAAAGAGTTTATCTGTACAGCAAAAAAATATGAGCAAAAATGTAGGCTATCCAAATATTGGATAATCCATCACCTGCCAAAATAAGCGAGCCATAGTAGCCCCCCTATACTACCTCACAGCCAATCACAAAACAGAGAAGGTGAAGGGCATACAGTTATCAGAGTACTACCAAATCACAAGGAAAAATGCTATACAAAATTTTATAGACAACATATTTTATCCTAGCAAAAACTTCCTCCTCTTTAGGCAAAAAACCATCGAATCTAGCTGCATTCCTGACTCTCCAAATCCAGTAAATGGTGCAGGAGAAAGCAATCCTAGCAGCCTTGGCTTGCACATTAGCTCCGCTCCTTTCCTTCTTGATTCATTTGACCGAACTAGCTAGGGTCCCCATCATCCGTGGAATGCCAATCCATGTTTTCATCATAGTCCAGACCTTACCTGAAAAAGGGCATTCAAAGTATAGGTGTGGAGCCGTTTCCGGTCCACCCTTGCACAATACACAAGTATTATCCACATCTAATCTATGAAGATTATCACACATGGCTAACCTATTAGCACGAAACATCGACATAAGAGGAGACGGTGTCGTGCAAACTACAAATGCTCACCATACGTTGAGCCAATTGTCTGTATTGAACTTGCTCTGTTTCAACCAAGCGATGACGATATTGCATCTCTCAAGGCTTGGATTGAAGAACCTGATAATGTTGAACCCAAGACTGTTGTTCTGAATCTCCCATCATTTGATGAAGTGGAGAGGGAGTTTTTCCGTGAACTTGTTCAACCAGATGAGACTATATGGTCCTATGTGAGTGCCTTATCTTATTCATATCTATCTTATTCAAGCGATTCAATATATGTCTCACGCTCTTTTTTCTTAGCATATGGATGCTCTATCGTGCCTGCTTCTAACAGATTGTAAGCCGGACAAGCCGTATAAGCATATAAACCCTTACTTTACGGTATGTCTTGTTTATCACTTTATCTTTACCAAACCTACATAATTTTTTTTTCTATTTCACCTCATTACAAGTTTTGTTCGTGCAGCATCAACTGTTGAGTACGGATGTTAAGGATGAGAGCGTCTGGACTGCTGATAAATATCTACCAGCTGTGGAATGGAGAGATTTGGAAAAGGTAACTGGTTAAACTGTTGTATTTAATTGTTTGTGTATTTAAATTATATTTGAAAGGCAAAACAAAAAGTGCTTAAGTAATTTTGTTGTTATTGTGTTAAGGTTTTCCTACCTCTGAATGTTGTTGGGATGCATTGGGTTTTAGCGGAAGTTGACCTACAAGAAAAATTGGTGCGTGTATATGACTCTATGAGAACGAGCAGGTCAAGGTTGCATGCGAATGATCTGTGTATGAGACTTCCGCTCCTCTTCCGAGTCATACAAGCCCACCCAGACCTGCGAAAGGTACATCAGTGGAAAGCTAAGGCAATTGCAGATGTTCCGCAACAGGAGGGAGAGTAATTGTAATCTGTTAATATTTTAATTGTTTATGTGTGGTGTAGAATTATGTCTATGATCACTTAATACTTGTTTGTTATGTCTGTGTGGCAGAACTATTTGCGGACTCATGGTTGTTTCTTATGCGGAAGCTTTGATGTTGGGACTACCGCTGATGCCACATTGCGAGTATGCGAACGTGGCAAGAAAGAGATGGCACTACGCACTTCGGCTTTGGACTTTGAGGCAGATAGTTTCTTAGACATATGTGGATGTCTATTTTTTTTGCTAATGTATATACATAACTTTCATGGTTCCCATGTAACAAACATTAGTTTGCTGGTTTTGTGTTTTTGTAACCTTTTGGAATGGAATGTATGATAATGTACATTGTTGTGGCGATTGTGCTGTAATCAACGTTGTACAATGTCCTACAAGGTTATTCCCCAAGAGGGTTCATATGAAGCATGTAACAAAATTTGTATGATGGGTTTTGTGTTATTTATAACAATTTGAAATGTTATGTATCATAATGTTCTGTTTTTATAAATACATGTGTCTGTGAGTATATAATATATTGTCTGCCATTGGGAATGAGTTTGTCTGTGAGTATATTTTACTTTTTTTTCAATTATAACGTTTATTATGTTACTATTTTTTCCAATTATAACTTTTGTTCATTACAACTTTTTACTTTAATAAATGATGTAATGTTTAATAAATTAACAATCAAAATTTATAAAGTTGTAGAATTAAAGCTTATAGTTCATAACAAATAATGTTCATATAGGTACTTGTTCATCCATCCTATGTGTTTTGTTAGTTTAAATGATGAGTAAGATTTAATTGTAATATTAAAACTTGTAATTACACTTCAAATTTTACAAGTTGTAATATTTAACTATAACTATATGGGATATAATATGAACTATCACATGAATATGCACTTTAATTAAATATTTTCTTGTTTACAAATTACAACCGTATGTTTATGAATATATTGTTTGGACCTTGTATTGAAGTCCTCTCCCCCCCTCCAAATTATTGTGTCTATGAGTAAAAATTCTTGTTTGTAACAGAACACCGATCTGACTGTGAGGACATAGTATTGTCTATGACTAAAAACAGTGTCAGTGATGATTCAACAAAAAAAACAGTACATCATAGTACATATATTCACATCAAAGATAGATTTAAATCTACACCAGTACAGTACAAGTACAGGAGTGGCCCATTAGCTGCAGCATTGCTAGGGCCTTCACCATTACCATGTTGGATTGTTGTGGTTGTGGCTGGTGCATTATCCTTCTTAGGCCTTCCTTTCTTCTTCCCCTTTTCTAGTGGACCCTTCGCCCTGTTTTTCCTTGGAGCTCCCTTGCGCTTCGTACATTTTGGATCTCCAATAGGTGGAAGTGGGACCTCGGCACGAATAGTTGTTGTTGGGTCTTCAAGTGGTGTCATGTTGCCAACAACAGAAAAATGGCTAACTGGAGGAGTATATGTGGTCAACTGGGTTTCCAACCAAAGGAGGACTTCATTGTATTTCTCCTCATCATCCACAATCATGTTGGCAACAGACTCAAATGTCTTACATAACTTGTCAAAGCGTTGTTGTTCAACCGTTGTAATCCACCAGTCGTAATTGATTTTGACTCGTTGGTACGCTCTTTTCATGTCTTTCCTCTATCTGCTCATTAGGTACACCTCGGGCAAGTGGTGTATATCAAGCCAATTAAAGACCACAAGCAAGTGTCTACATATCATTCCCCTAAAATCAAACAAATGACAACTACATATTCCAAAACAAGTAATTGGGTCAAAGTCAATATAGAAGTTCACATTCTTCTTAAATCCATTAATATCCATATGCTCTTGCACTGTGTATTTTCTACCGTCTTCACATAAAAGGATATCACAATAAAGCTTTCCTTCAAATAATTCCCTTTGAAACTCCGCAAACTTAGAAAGGGTATAAATTTGTTGCACTTGTTTTTCCATTGGATATCTAGTCACACATGGAATCAGATTGGTAAATGAGTTAATATCCGCTTGAAATTCTTTTTCCACCTTATCACGCAAAGCACATCTGTATTGTTCAACAAATTGTTTTAGAGTGGTTTTGGAATTGACAAACTTATCGAAAAAAGCGTTGATGCTCTCACTTCTTTGAGTTGTGGACATGCCGGCCCAAAATGTTGGCTTTAAATAACATGGTACCCGCCGCTTTCTTTCATTGTACATCACTCCAAGCCAATCATGCTCTTCAAGTGAAAACCTGAACACATTTAAACTGCACAAAGTCAATTTGTAAATAAATGACAAAGAACTTATTCTCTGCCAACAAACATATTGTGTCCGTGAAGTATAAACTATATTGTCTATGACAGACACACCTGTCTATGAGGCACAGAAAAAGTTACTGCCAGAACAAGAAATAAAGCTTACAAATTCATACCTTTGAATCATGTGAAGCCATTTTTCCTCAAACTCTTGCATGTAGTGTGAATCATAAATGGAGTCATGCATAACATCCAATATTTCATCTTTTTGTGCATTCCCTCCGAGTTTTTCGGGTACCATTTTCATTATGTGCCATAAACATCATCGGTGTTTCAAATTTGGGAAAACAATTGCAATGGCGTTTTGCATGGCACGGTCTTGGTCGGTAATAATCCCTATTGGAGCGATTCCATCCATACATTCAAGCCATGCTTTAAACAACCACACAAAGGTTTGTGTGTCTTCATTAGAGACCAAGCCACATCCCATTAGCAATGATTGCCCGTGATGGTTTACCCCGACAAATGGTGCAAAAGGCATGTCATACCTATTCGTAAGATAGGTCGTGTCAAATGGTATGACATCTCCAAATTCTTTGTACGCATATCTAGACCTATTGTCGGCCCAAAATACATTACGCAATCTTGACTCGTCATCTAAGTCAAGTGCAAAGAAAAATCCGGGACATTGATCTTGCATTTTAGCAAAGAACCCTTGAATGGCAATTGCATCGCCACTACCTAACCCAAGTTGTCTCACTTTATCTATATAGTTCCTACAATCTTTTTCAATGAAGGGAAGTTGATCATATCCACCGGCTTCAACAACGGCCACAGTAAATCTTTTATTAAGTCGTATTCCCGCAACTTCATTTATTGCAAGTTTCCTCGCCATTCCATGAGTCAGCTTCCTATTGCATCAGAATAGTCTAGCCTTTGTTGGACTCATAGGATGTGAATGTTGTAAAAACAGTTTTGAAATTTGCCAAAGTCCCTCATTATTTACGTGTGCTCGTAGTCTAGCTCCACACCCTATTTGCATTGAAGGTTGGGGCTTCAATTGATTTTTTGACTGACTACCTCTCTGACCAGCCCGCGAACACTCTAGTACAATTGACACAATTTGTCTTCCCTTTTTGTCTTTCGTTGTGCTCCTGGTTCTTATTGGAAATCTCAAACGTTTTTCATATGCTTTGTAAAAATCATAGACCGCTTCTCTGCTTTCAAACTCCATACCAAGCTCCTGGTCTTTACCAAGTTCAATCTCCATTGCCACCCCTTCTCCATCTGTTATGTAACATGATTCATTTATTCATGCATTCAAACCAACTTACTGTCACACATAGACAGTGATATGTGCACAAACAGACAATTCACAAGTCTCACAAACACGTTGAATACCACACAAACAAACAAGTTTATGACGTTCTACATGCACAAACAATAACAAATATTAAGAAGTTAACGCTGCATTCAGTTACATGTTTGAAGAAACGTATGTTCAAACAAACTTAGGGGTACACACAGACAATCATATATACACACACAGACAATTCAACACTTCAACAGACACCCACAACACTACACAAACAAACTTGTCCACCATTATTTACATATACAAAAAACAGAACAAATAAACAAGTTCCACCTCTAACATCATGCCTGTGAGAAGAAATGCATTTTAACGTTAAATGAACTGTTAAAACCATGAGAGAAGAAGATGAAGTCCTACCGAGGTCAGAAACGACGTCTATGGCCGCCGCCGACGTGCATCCATCTTCTTCGGCTACGTCCGTCGTAAAGTCACCTTCTCCACCTCCGGTGTGTCCATCACCTTCTCCACCTCCAGGCTTCTGTCCGGAGCCTTCTCCGCCTACGTCCGTCATTCCATCACCTTCTCCATCACCGGCCGGCCGTCTGTCCTTTTTCTCCAGGTCCGACAGATTTTTCCTTTTCTCCACCTCCGGTTTCTTCAGTTCCGTAAATCCACATAGCCCAAAATTTGTCGTTGTTTGTGACCTTGGTTTTGTCCAAGTGAAAATCCATGGAAGAGGAAGGAAAATCCAGTTTTTTAGTAGTTGATCGTTGAAGAAGAAAAGAGTGTGTGCGGGAGTTTGATTTCCAGAAAAGGCGGGAGTGAGAGAGAAAGGTGGGTCGGTGGGGTGAGATATGCGGGTGTGAGGTGAGGGGAAAAGAGGGGGGTAATTTTTTTTGGGCATTTGTAGTGTGTATAGGGTGGGTACAATGGGTGGGTACAAAGAGCAAAAGTGAATTTCAATAGACCGGTTGCAGCTCACCTTTCATGCTGATGTAATGACCCGACCCGACCCACAATAGACCCTGAAATTTGGGCGGGAAAATAGCCAGATTTTCCACTCCTTTTTATATAGAGATAGATAATTCAGCGGAAGAACTTTCTCATATGAAGTGCTTTTAGGTATAAAGGTAAGCGGACTAATACTTGAGCGGGAAAATTTTCTATCTCACACATAGCGATTTTAGGTATAATAAAATAAACGGACTAATAAATGAGCGTAAAATTTCTCTCTCTCATATGTAGTGCTTTAGGTATATACAAGATAAGCGGACCAATAATTGAGGGAGATTTTTTTTCTCTCTCTCTCTCATATGTACTGCATTTAGGTATAAGAAGATAAGTGGACTAATAATTGAGCGGTGAATTCTCCTCTCTCATATGTTGTGCTTTTAGGTACAAGATAACCGGCTAAAACTTGAGAGGAAGATTTTCGATGGTTCTCTCTCATATGTAGTGCTTTTATATTAGGTACAAGATCATCCGGCTAAAACGATTGAGCGGGAGAAGTTTTTCTCTCATAAGTAGTGATTATAGTTATAAGAAGATAAACCGGTTAAAACTTGAGCGGGGGAATTTTCTCCCTCATACGCAGTAGTGCTTTTGGTTATAAGATAAGCCTGCTAAAAATTGAGCGGGTGAATGTTCTCTCTCATACGTAATGCTTTTAGGAATAAGAAGATAGGCCGACTAAAACAATTGAGCGGGAAAATCTTCTCTCTCATACGTAGTGCTTTTAGGTATAATAATAATAATAATGAGTATAAGTATAAGATAAGTCGGCTTAAACAAATGAGCGGGAGAATTTTCTCTCATTTGTAATGATTTTAGGTATAAGAAGATAAGTCAGCCTAAACTTGAGCACTGGAATTTTCTTTCTCATGCGTAGTGCTTTTAGGTATAATAAAATAAAACAAGTCGTCTAAAACCATTGATCGGAAATCACACGTAGTGCTTTTAAGTATATGATAAGATAAGATAAGATAAGATAACCCGACTAAAACTTGACGGAGAATTTTCTCCTTCATACGTAGTGCTTTTAGACACAAGACAAGCCACCTAAAATTTGAACGGGAGAATTTTCTCTCTCATACGTAGTGCTTTTAGGAGGTATAAGATAAGATAAGATAAGCCGGCTAAAACTTGAGAAGAACAATTTTCCCTCTCATACATAGTGTTTTTAGGTATAAGATAAGAATGCTAACAAATTAGCAGAAGAAGTTTCTCTCTCATCAGTAGTTCTTTTTAGTATAAGATAAGCTAGCTGCTAAAACTCGAGCGATAGAATTTTCCGTCTCCTACGTAGTATTCTTAGGTATAAGAAGATAAGATATGCAGACTAATAATTGAGCGGGATAATTTCTCTCTCATATGTAGTGTTTTTATGTATAAGATAAGATAAACAGACTAATAAATGATCGAGAGAATTTCCCCTCTCATATTTTTCTCTCATGACCTTTTAAACTTATGATAAGACATTTTCCTATAATTATCACATATATTATGATAATCGATAAATATCAAGCTCTATCACTACAAAAAGATGAAATATTCCTACACATAGATGTATATTAGTCATGTAAAACTTTATATATGTGGCGTTATGAGGAGTTTAGAAAACATGGCTTGATGATTTTAATGATGCGTACATGATAAGAAAAGAAAATCATAAAACATTGTCACTCAAAACTCTAACAAGAAAGTTCAACATAAATATGACTATTCATTACTACAACATAGTGTTGTAGTAACTTAAGTTCAAAACTTGAATATGAATTACTATGATTTCATTACTACTCTAGTAACTAATCATATTTTTGTAAATCATCTTTATTTTGGTCATATTTATGTAATTATTTCTTATCCGTTACTAACAATGCTAATTATTACTATGGAGCAAATTCTGGTGTCGATTTTTTATATTTTAATTTTCTTTTAATTTGAATATTTATTGTAAGGATTTGTACTTTTTTATATTCACTTATCATACTCCATTTTTGAAATTATGTAAAATGTAAAAAAAAGTCTATTTTTAGATTTAATTAGGCTAGACCAACTGTTTTTCCCGTGTGCTAGTTAAAGTTTAATGAAAATTGCATCCAACCAAACAGAAGTTTATAATTATAGAAAGTACTAGTTTTCCAACGCGCGATGCGCGAGGGGAAAATGCCCAATGCTATTTCGATAGATTAATCGAATGAAGCATTATTCATCACTATACTTGATATGTTTGAAATTACAAACTTTATACATAATATTTTTCCACCATCAAAGTGTTGAAAAGCATTGGTTCAATCTTTCATATGCTCCTCCTTGAAGCTTATATGTTTTCAGAATCTCTTGAGAATTGAGAGAATGAAATCTACCAAACTAATCAATCCATTCAAAAATGAATTGATTCTTTCTTTCACTCAAACACCAAAATAAGAAGACTGAATGTGAACATGCGATTGACTACAAATTTACCAAATTCAGGAGGGAAATCACGAGATAAATGAATCTATTTGTTCAGTTTTAATTATCTATTTTTATCTTTACTTGCTCGACTCTATAAGTTTAGAGATTTTTCTTATTTGTTAGTCTATATAAACATAAATATCATACTTTCATCCGCTCTCTACTTTTCATTATTGCTCTCTTAACTCTAATTTCTTAAAAAACTTTGTAGGACCAACTAAATTATTGAGCAAAAATGGACTATAATAGGCAATAATTTTTACTCAAAGATGCTTGATGACAGACCATAATAACACCCTCTGGCACATCTCATTCCACAAACTATCAATAACCAAAGGCTAGAGATAATTGATCAAGAAAACATTTGGAAACTGATATAAAATAAAATCATTAAAAACTTGGGAAAACTATCAAATAAGTCATCCTACTATATCAAAAAAAGTCAATTAAGTCCTCCTACTTTAAAAGCACTCAATTAAGTCCTTAAACTTAAAGAAGTCATTCAAGAATAGGGAGGGAGGGTATAGGGAGGCATGCAGCCAAGAATACTTACTTTGAACCACAATAGAAACGGCTTTACGGAGCACAAAATTTCACTACCTCAACAACTATGAGGCCACCACCAAATTGCATGAGTTTGATATCGCTCATCAAAAGAAGGAAACGAAATAAAACAATAACTTCACAATATCAAACCAATAAAACATAGACCAACATTAAGCACTTTCTGTGATTGAAGCCCGCCGTTGCAAAAGTAAAAATACTTATCTCCTACTATAAATAGAAACTCGTATTTGGGATGACTATTCAATTTGGTAAGTTTTTCCCTTGGCTTCTCTCTAGCATCACATTTTGTGAGAACAGAAATTAGTTAAATTTATCTGTTTCTCCACAAACTCTTTAGTTTCATCTGAATCGGGGTCTTCAACTCTTCAAGCCTATTGACAATCATCAAATAAAAAATGGCCAGGGTTACATTACAACTTCAATAACTAAAGTAAAATGTCTAACCATTCTGGAGTACATAACGGGGCTTCATCAT